TGTTGATGTTGATGTTGATGTTGATGTTGATGTTGATGTTTGATGTTCTTGCAATACTCAGAAGGAGGGAGTGATATGCTTGTTTTGCTTGTTGCAGTATTTCACTTCTGCTAGTAGTAGTAGTATTACCATAGTAGAGTTGGCAGGCAAATGTATGCACCAGTTGTACCTTTTGGGCCATCTAGTAATTACTGTGTAATGACTTGTGGGATTAAAAATTGGCTTGGACTGCAGTTTACATTGTTGGGTAGTACGCAAGTGTGCAACCAAATAGTAGTTTTGCGCTCACGTGCTCAACCGACAATTTTGGCTCCAAACATATGCAAATTTTTAATCCCATGATTCATTACATGGTAAAAAGATAGCCCAAAATCGACGCACAGTACAAAAACACGTAGGGCATTAAGAGAGGTTCAACTCAATCAAGCAGCTATAGTAGAGTCCGTATTGAGGAGAGAGCACGCCTAAAAAATTATCACCATGGTGGTGATGAATTTTTATTGGAAGGGTGTCATAACCTGTGGGAGTGACTGTCCTAAAAGTGATGTAAAGTGTGTGCTAGTAGAAAAATGAGTCAATGCTCTTATCGGGGATCGACGAACTATGAAATCTAGAATGGATTGCTGTGAGGATCGAGTGATGTGTGAATCGAATGAGTCAAGTCACTCACGCAAGTGAATGAAMTGAGTCATGTCAATCATATGAATCCAGTGGGATCGCATGAGTCATATATGTATGGTGTGTATGAGTCGTAGATACGTATCGTATGTATGTGTCGTATGTATGAATCATACCCACAGTCTGATATCCTACGTACGGACAACACTTCCCCCCAACAGACGCTTAAGTATGATAAGCACATGGTTAAAAAGATAATTCAAAGAGCTTTCTAATGCCATGAGGGAGAACGCTGTCCAATGAACAATATTGATCAATATATCATGTGTATGTATATCTAGCATTCCTAATGTACGATTCAGTCAGCCAGAATAACGCTGCCAACTCTATACGATGATAGTATTGTTCCTTCCAAACCAGCACTACTACTAGTAGTAGTAGGTCAACAAGGACTAAGAAGTTGGTGTGGTGGATTGATTGACTCAATCAATCCACACCAACTTCTTAGTCCTGTTTTCCTTAATCTAAGGATTAAAACACTTGGTGTCTTGTGAGTGTGATTGGTGGAGTATAGATGAAGAGCTGGAGGAGTGACAGGTTGCTATGCTGGAGGTTCTCCTTGTGTTAATGGTGAGTTCTTTCAGAAATTTGGTGCACAGAGAAATCAACTAGTAGTAGTACTACTACTAGCCCGAACAGGTTCTCTGGCAAAAAACCCATACAATAGGACGAGTATGTACATGTTTCAAAAGAGAAGAGAAAACCATTTCCGACTAGTAACATATTCTCTTTGCAGCACTCTTATTCTTATTGGTCCTTTGCTAGCAGCAACAAGCAAGCAAAGCTTGCTGCTGAGAGCACTCATAACCTGTTAGAAATCAATAGTCTTATTTCGCACTCATACCCCGCAATACCTATTCTTAATTTTGACTTTCTTGCACAAGTTAATTTCGTTAGTTATGTACAAGTATTTCGAACAACGAAAAACTAAAGATGTACTTCGATAAGCATTCTCATTTTCTCGATTGCCTCACGAGGTTCGGTACGAGGTCCTTCTCTCGGCGAAAAGGAATGAGAGGAATAAAAAGAGGAGAAATTTACTTTTCATGTGGTTCAGTATTACACTACTTCAACCTACCGTACGCAGTAAGTGGCAGGTACGTCAGCCAACGTACTAGTATAGTAGAAAATAATAATTGTACTTCTAAGAAGTAGCAGAAGTACGAGAACTCTACAGAGTTTTTACTGGCCATAAAAATTACTGAATGGCCATGGCAAACATTATCCAACGCAAGGTATGGTACGATACTCGTACGTTTTTATATTCCCTTTCCGTTGCGTGAGTTCGATCGGTTGGAGAATGTCGTAGTGAATGGTAAAATTACGCCTACGGCGCAGTACAGTACAGTAGTAAGCTTGATGCAAAGTTAGAATTAGCTTACCTCAAACTTAACGGTAGGTACGTACTGGAAATAATTATTCTTCATGTAGTAATTTTTACCATGACCCGTCTGGCAGTCTCTGTGCTTTTTGGCATAGTCATTGTGCATTTATGACCAATTTTTGACAGATGACTACCGTACGTGATTTATTACTGACAATCTTAGTCGATGATCAGGCTTCGCTGTTTTTTTTCAGAATTATCCATACTGTATACACACTGAGAGGACATACAAACTGCTCTCTCCACATGGCTCAACAACAAACAAATCTTTCACAAAAAACGGATTGTTTGTTGAGAACCCGTAATAACCAAATAAGTCTGCTTCTAGAAACTAACATCTAATCATGGGTGAGGGCGCGGACGTGTACATCCGCGATGACGAGCACGCATGGGTTCCGGCTCGTGTGGTTGAATCGGACGGCACAACTGCCAAAGTAGCTGTTCCTCAATATGCTTGTGAGGAAGAGATCACCAGTGACGGCGGCAAAGCTGCCACTGGTTTCAAAACTGCGGAAGTGAAACTCAAAGATTATCATTCTGGTGTCCTTCCTTTGCAAAACGTCAATGAAAGTGGAACCTTGATTGAGGTCAACGACATGGTTGATCTTCCTTACTTGCACGAGGTATGTAATGTCTTCAACCCATGTGTATACATTTCTCGTTCTGAAGTGAATATGTATAATATGTGGTTTGTAATGGCATCTGATCACCATTGACCTTCTTTCTTCTTCATAAATTCTACTTTCGTGCAACTCTTCCATGATTATTCTTCCGCACACGCAAACCTCAGGCTGCCATTTTGTACAACTTGAAGTCAAGACACGTGAGAGCTTTGCCCTACGCTCGTGTTGCAGACATTGTTATTGCGGTGAATCCGTACCAGTGGCTTACGCATCTCTATGAAGACGAAGTTCGTATGCATTACGCCCAGAGGATCGTATGGGACGACAACGAAAATGATCCCAGAATTGGACTTGACCCTCACATCTATGAAATTTCTTCATTGTGTTACAAGGGACTTGCGCTGGAGAAGCAAAACCAATCCATCTTGGTGTCTGGAGAATCCGGTGCTGGAAAGACTGAGACTGTCAAGATTTGCATGAACCACATTGCTACCGTCCAGCAGGATCCAAACGAGGAGAAAATGGAAGGAATGTCTCCTGTGGTTCAACGTATTCTAGATTCTAACCCACTTCTGGAAGCCTTCGGTAACGCCAAGACTCGTCGTAATGATAACTCTTCCAGATTTGGAAAATACATTATGCTTCAGTTTGAGCATTTGGCACCGGAAGGCGGCGCGAAACCTCGTTCGGCACTTGCAGGTTCCGCTTGTGAAGTGTACCTCCTGGAAAAGTCTCGTATTGTGACGCACGACTCGGTCGAGCGTACCTATCACATTTTCTATCAGTTACTTAGTTCATCTGATGAGATCAAGAGTGAAATCTGGGAAGGACTAACAGGAAAGGTCAACGAGGACTTTAAGTGTGTGGGAACATCTCCGATTAAAGGAATCGACGGCAAATCAGATGCCGATAACTTCACAGATACGAAATCTGCTTTGGAGCTTGTGGGTATCAAGGGTGAGCCCTACATTGAACTTTTCCGTGCGATTTCTGCGGTGATGCAATTGGCCGAGCTGGTGTTCGCGCCTGATCCTAGCGACGACGAAAAAAGTGTGATCACATCGAAAAAAGAATTCGATGATCTACAGAAACTTCTAGGTGTTGAACCGACTACGCTAGAATTGGCTTTCACGGAGAAAACTATTAAAACTCGTGGAGAAGAATACAAGGTCCCCCTCAAGGCTGATATTGCAACTGAATCTGCTGGTGCGTTCGCCAAAGAGATTTACGCCAAGACCTTCTTGTGGTTGGTTCGCGCTCTCAATGATGCGACTTGTGCCGAGAATAACTGGCCTGCGGGTGATACCGTTGAGTATGGCTTGATTGGTCTTTTGGATATTTTTGGATTTGAATCTTTCCCCGTCAATGGATTCGAACAGCTCTGTATCAACTATTGTAACGAGAAGCTCCAACAGAAATTTACTCAGGATATTTTCCGAACCGTTGTCGAGGAATACAAACAAGAAGGTCTGGATCTCGAAGAGATCAAGTACGACGACAACTCTGATGTGTTGGCGCTAATTGAAGGGAAGGGTGGATTTATCAGAGCACTGAATGAAGAATGCGTCCGTCCAAGTGGTAACGACCCGACGTTTGTCAGCAAGGCCTTGAAGGCGAACAAAACTGTTGCGTGTCTTATTCAAAAGCGAACCTTTTCACCACTTGAGTTCGGTGTTCACCACTTTGCTGGATCCGTCATTTACTGTGCTGAAGGCTTTGTTGGTCGCAACACCGACACCCTTCCTGTGGATCTTGCGGCGTGTGCCAAGATGTGTAAAAACGAGATCATTTCGAAGCACATGGACAACAACTCAGCTTCGAACCAGAAGAAGAAGGAGGATCCCGACAAGGCACCCCCTAAACGTGCGAAAAGTAGTATGACCGGAGATACGGTGATGACTCAGTTCAAGACCCAACTGACCAGTTTGATGAAGGGCCTAGCGTCGACATCATCCCGTTACATCCGTTGTGTCAAGCCGAATACGAGAAAAGCGAAATGTGTTATGATGCACAACACCACTTTGGATCAGCTGCGTTCTGCTGGTGTGGTTGCAGCCGTCACGATTTCGCGTTCTGCGTTTCCGTCAAAGCTCGATTTTCCTGACGTACTGTATCGCTATGGCATTCTGAATCCCGAGAAGGACAAGGCGTATCCAGACGACAAAGCAGAAATCGACGAAATGCTAACCACGGTGCTGAAAAGGTTTGAAAAGACTAGGAAGGACGGATCAATTTCCAAGGCATTTGCTGTCGGAAAAACAAAATGTTACTTCAAGGGTGGTTGTTTGGAATTTCTAGAATCAGAGAAAGCCAAGATTTGGTTCAAATGGGCCGTAAAAATCCAGAAAGTGATTAGGGGACGTCTCACCAGAGATAGACTCGAGAGAGAACGAATTGCTAGAGAAGAAGCGAGATTGGCCGCTGAAAAGGCTGAGCGAGAACGAATTGAAGCGGAAGAAAGGGCGAAAAGAGAAGCCGAGGAAAAAGCAAGAAAGGAAGAGGAGGAACGTCTTGCGGCAATCGAGTGGGAGAAGAACAGAGAAGCGAGGGAGGAAGCTGAGCGTCTGGAAAAGATTCGATTGGCAGAAGAAGCCGAAAAGGAAAAGGCTCGATTGGCAGAGGAAGCGCGTCTGGAAAAGATACGATTGGAAAAGGAAAAGGCACGATTGGAAGAGGAAGCGCGCCTGGAAAAGATACGATTGGAAGAGGAAGCAAAGGCAAGGGCCGAAGCAGAACGCATTGCGAAGCTCAAGGCGGAAGCAGAAGAGAAAAAAAGGATCGCGGAAGAGAAAGCAAGGATCGAAGCAGAACGCATTGCCGCAGCGAAGAGGGCCGAGGAGGAACGCATTGCCGCAGAGTTGAGGAGGAAGGAAGAAGAGCGCATGAGAGCACAGAGGGAACTCGAGAATAAAAGCGCAATTACGATTCAGTGCATGTTCTATCAATATACTGCCCGTCAAAGATTCAGAGATCGAAAGAAGGAGAAGAAATTGCAGAAGCGCATGGGCAAAAAGTGGAAAAAAGCTGCCACCAAGATCCAAGCCATCGCTCGTGGATTTCTTCAACGACCCAAATACAGACAAGCTCTGCTCGATAAGGCTGAGGAGGACAATCTGAAGAACCAGCTCGGCAACATGGAGGCAAAACTCGAGGAAGCCGAACAAGCGCGCAAGCAAGAGCTCGAAGATGTAAAATTCAAATTCGAACAGGAAATGGAAGATATGAAGGAGAAACTGAAAGAGCAGCTCGAAGAAGAAATGGCGAATGCAGGAAATTCAGCCCAGCACCAAACACTTATCGACGAGTCTGGCAAGATTATTGAATACTTGAGAAAAGAAAATGCCAAGTTGCGAAAGCAGTCTGACAGCACCAAGAGGGAGTACAAAACTCTGAAAGAGCAGAACACTCGTCTGAAGGAGGCCAATGATTCTGCCAGCAAATCTTTCAACGAACTCAATAATCATGCAAAGGGCTTGAACGCAACCAACGCCCGGCTCATCAAGAACGTCGATGCTTTCAAGAAGCAGCTTGTGAAGATGAAGGAGGATTTGAAGAATCGCCAGGCCTTCTACCTTGCCGAAGCACACGCCCGTGTTGCGTACCAAAAAACCCTTGCCCGCATCGTGTCTCAGGTGCAGAACCAATCCAGGGACGCCCAGCTCGTCGAGGACGTGGTCATCTGGGCCCTCGAATGCGAGGCCGAAGCGAAGGCGGAACGTGCCGCCCTCGAGAACGCCGGACAAAAGGCACCCCCGGGTGTGATCAACGCCGCTCCGAAAAGAGCCGCGAGGCCCATGGACTCGGACTCCGACGACTCGGATTCCGACTCGGACTAGAGGTGGTCCAAAACATCAGTACTATCATTATTTTATATTATAACTTTCGATTTATGTGTTTGGTTGCGACTGCAATAGAAGTACGTTTCCTGCGCCGTAGCGTACACATCTGTGTGCATCGCGGCACCGCAGACAATTAGTTTCGCCAACGGGGCGTTTTGTAGAGGAGATCTAATATCGTAGATTGCCATTCATCTGTCAAACCATGTGATCGGGAGTGACACACTTGGTACGACTACGAAGTACTTAATTCGGGCGATGAACGTATGTTTGACAGATCGAGTTTGTGTGCGGTTGCATTGCCTCGGAGTTCTTCACGGCGAAAGATGTTCGTGCCATGCATGCTTGTCTCATCGAAATACAATCACTGTGCTAGAAGTACGAGTACCGAGTACTCGTACTTCGTATTGTCTCGCACAGCACTCAACCGTTAACCTCTTCTTTGACGACTCTGTAGGCCATTTCTATGGCTTTCCGTACCTTGCCTCCGCTGTGAAAGCGCAGGAGTCTGGAGAGTTCTTCGCCCGGTCGGCTTTTGCCGTCGGCGGTGTCTTTGAACCATCGAAACCCCGAGTGTTCCAACGACAGCCGGATCCCTGTTTGTTGGCGGCACGAAGAAAGATCGCGACCATTGTTTTTGTTTTCAAAGTCTCCGGGAGATGGTGGCGGCGGTGGCTGTTTGTTGCACGGGAGAAACCAACGCCGGTTTTGTTTGGTTTGGTTTGGTTTGGTGCGTTTGCGACAAAACGAAAGAAAAGAAAACAATCACGGTTGCGAGAAACACTCGACGTTGGTGAGTCTGGCACTCGATCGGTGATTGTCAAACGCGGGTACCAATCGATAGACCAACAAAAACTAGAATGCCAAAGAGAGCAGGGTAGAATTTCGTTTCGTTTCGTTTCGTTTCGTTTCGTTTCGTTTCGTTTCGTTTCGTTTCGTTTCGTTTTCTTTCGTTTCATCGACGGTACGTACATGTTCTTCGTCGCTGGGAAAGTCGTCGTCGCGCAGCTCGCAAACAAAGAACAGCCGGCCTTTGTATTCGTTGATCAAACCGATCGCGCCGTTGCTGTTGCTGTTGCTGTTGCTGTCGCCGCCGCCGTCATCGCTGTAGAGCACCATCGGGAGAAAGGCCTCCGGTCGGGTCCGAAAATCGATGCCCGTCTCCTCGTATACTTCTCTCGCGCATCCCGTCCGGGCCACAGCGAAGACAAGGGTCTCGTCGATGCGACGGTCCTCGTGTGGTCGTTGGTTGTCCGGTTCGCGGATCGGTGCAGTGGCATTGTCATGGTCATGGTCATTGCCACGGGCCTGCTCGGAGCGGTAGTCGTCTTCGTCGATGCGGCCACCCGGGAGCTGATAGTGTGGTGGCTTGCCTTTTTTCTTCCGGGTACAGTGCAGCAGCAAGACGCCCTTCTCCTCGTGAACGAGCAAGCAGAAGGCTCGATACTGGTGCTGGTTCGGTTTGGTGGTCGAAGTTTCAGTTGCAGTGGCAGTGGCAGTGGCCGTGGCTGTCGCCGTGGTTGCTTCGCCGCCCGGGCTGGCACTCGCGTTCGTGGCAGGGAGGTTGTGGTTGTGCTTGCGGTTGTGCTCCCGGCGAAACACCGGACCACCGCGTGCGAAAGACTGCACGCGTCGCCGGGCCATCCTCAGAAGCGGGTGGTCCGGGGGGGCTGGTTCCGCAACTGTGTTTTCACTGGCGTTTGCCTTCCATGGATGATTCGGTTTCGGATTCGGTTTCGGATTCGGATTCGAACCGGGCCTAGTATTCGACTCTGAGTTCTCGTGGCCATGGCCACGGCCACGTTCGCCACATTGGTTCGAGACAGCACTAGTATCGGCATCGGCATCGGCACTAGCATCTTCATTAGCACCGGGACCGGCAAAAGTATTGGTCGCGGTGACCATCGGCATCGGTGGGAGGACACCGTTCGGCTTCCTGGTTTCTGTTTCCGTCTCAGTTTCCGTATCGGTTTCTCTTTCTTCCTTGAATCCAGGGCATACGATGCCTCCCATTGGTTCTGTTTGTGTTTGTGTTTCTGTTTCTGTTTCCCGGTTGGAGGCAAGGAACGAAACATGCGCAATACCAAATGCAGCACTTCGGCACGAGTTCCATACGGTACGAGTTACGAGTAAAGTACGATGAAGTGCTGGACTCGTTCCGTCGGATCATGGATCTCGTTGTGTTTGTGGTTTGTGTTTTGTGTTTTGGATTTTGGATCTTGTTGGGGTACGACTAAGAGTACGCAGTCTTTGTTGATCGTACTGTGTCGTAAAGTACTTGTACGTGGTAGAGTACGTAAGAGCTCGTACTCGTACGGGTGATGGGAAGACATCAACCTCCCGTACGATAAAAGATAACGGACCGTAGCGTAGCGAATTGCCTCCGAAGGTTCAAATTCAAACACATACCTTTCCCCGTATCTTTTTTGATCCGGGACACAAAAGTGTACAGCAAGAGTACGGTACGGTACCGTACGAGACTGTACTGAACAACGACTCGTGCCTACCGTACAGTATCATTTTTAGCATCCAGCAAGTCCCATCGTGGAACAATCGGAATTGGAATTCATTCGTTGTTTGAACCTCAGATCATGAGCTCGGCGATAGCGTTAGCGTTAGCAGTACTGTAAGTGTCACTGTTAGTGTCACTGTTACTGTTGCTGTTACCGATTCAACGCCATCGTCTTTCACATACGATGCCAGACCTGGAGCAAAATGACTGTTGCGATGCCGTGTTATTCTGCTTCTGTAATCTCGCTGGGATTCTTTCGCTCGCTCTGTCTGTGGTCTCGGTAACGCTCGGCACCGTCTTTCACAGGGTCTTGTGATTGTTACAACTGCCGTCGCAACTGTTGTGCACGACGTTTGTGTTTGTGGTCGCACCACATCGATGGCAATGCAACATGCAATACCAACAGGTTTACAAGGATGCTTTCGTCTCGCTGCTTGTTTTCACAAAACAAGATTCGAGCAGACCAGACCAGACCAAAGCGGAGTAGAACAGAATTCACGAGGCGCGAAACAAAACAAGAAAAGCCAAGAAACAAAGGACGCAAGAACAAGAAGGACCATGATGTTCGAAACTGCTCTCGGCGCCATCCATCTGGCGGTCAGCGCGATGGTCAACGGGCTCTGTTGTCACTGTAACAGTTACTACCGGATGAACGAAGAACACCGGTGCCGAAACGAAGACCCAGCTGTCATCTCGACGGGCTCCCACCGTTGCCACTGCAAGGCTTGTTGCCACTGCAAGTGTTGCTACCACTGTCGCTGCAAGTGTCACTGCCAGTGTCGCTGCCACAAACCATATTGCGTACCGGGAATGCTTCGAACCAATGGCGGCCCCGGGACGATCGAAGCGCAACCAGATGCAAATGCAAATGCAAACGCCGACCGCAGGCAGAAACTGATGGCCCAAAAGGCGGGGGCGGCGGCGGCCTTGGCGGGGAATGCTGCGGACCACGGGAGGCGAAGCCACCGAGGCCCTTGCTTCGATTTCTGGGCAGGCCCCATTGAAATTGCGACCAAACCGCAAACGCACCGTCTTGCCAACCGCTGCCGCCACCAAGCATCGCCCGCTGCGGCGATGGACGAAAGCAACGAAAGAATCCGCCCACCCAATTCCGTTTCGATCCCGAAACCACCGACCGAAACGATCCACTCGCCCTCGGATGGTTTGTCGTTGTCCCTCCAAGACGAGGCCGGCTTGGAAGACATCCGGATCGAGTGACGCGACGCGACACGACGCGATGCAAGCCATGCGGTGTGCGAACCAACACAGGGCCCGCCACGAAGGCCACGCCCGCCCACGCCTTGCGCTCGGTGCGAACACTTGTGCGAACACTCTTTGCCCGGAATCGACTCGACTCGGAAACGACCCGGAGCGTGGGAGCGATTGCCATCCCGGGCAGCGCGCCCGGATTGGGCCGACAACAGTCCCGGCGTTGCAAGACAGAGTTGATAGAATATTTCGTGTAGTAGGATTCATTCATTCAGACACTACAAAAATAACAATACCGTAAGGTACAGTACTGTATGAAAAACACTGAAGCACTGTATTTGTGACGAGCACACCAAATTTTATTTAATTTTCGAATTCGATTTGAATCTTCGAAAGCGATCGAACCGAAAGCAGATTCTTCCTTTCCGGGAATGCAATGTGAACTATGGTTCCACCGTACAAATGGTTGGTTCGAGGTCCTTCGATTAGGACTCCTGCCGTAGACTTTCACTTCCCCGAACCCTTCTCGCGCGTTGGCATGGGAATCCCACCGGGCTTCGGCCGGACGCCACGGAGGACGCTGGTTCTCGAAAAGAAAAAAGGACCCTCGTCTCCCTCTCGAATCGGTGCGTCGCCACTCGTCCGCATCGGGAGTCGCACCACCGGTCGGAAGGGATCCTCCGACGAAACCGATAGCGACGACGAAAGGTCGTAGGCTCGGGGCTGCGGTGCCCAGATTTTGCTGAGCTGCCTGCGTGCCCAGCCGGCATCAAGGGGTGGTGGCGAAGAAGCGCGGGGATCGCCCGCTTTCGGCAGGGGCGAAGGCTGCCTCCAGAGCGCAAAGACGTCCACGCCGCTTTCCCCGAAGAAAAAGTGGTCCGCGACCCGGGTCATCCGGGGCCGTTCGTGGGGGAACCGGCGCAGGAGCTGCCGGATCAGATCCCGGGCCGGCTCCTCCGTGCTCGAGGCGTGTGGTTCGGCAAAGAGGATGCTCTCGCCGTTGCTCCCGCTCTCGCCGCGGGCTCCCCCTAGGTCGAACGCCACGATGCGTTGCTTGGCGATCCGGTCGTCGGCCTCGGGTATGGGGGGGCGTCCGGTCAAGCACTGGTACATGACACAGCCCAGCGCCCACGAGTCGGCTGCGAGCGTCGGGAACGATCCCAGAGCGACCTCCGGGGGCAAATAAATCGTCGTTCCTTCGATGCGGAGGTCGGTGTCCGGATCGTAGTCTTGTAGAAAGCCATCGGTTTTGGTTTCGTCGTCGTCGTTTTCGTCGTCCATGTCGAAAGATTTGGCCTTTGTTTCTGTTTTCTTCCAGCCGCCGTCTCTCAGCTGAAGGAATGCATTTCTCGCGCTGTCGCGAATCATTTTCTTAGCGGCCTGGGTCACAGGACGGCATCCACCAAAATCGGTGAGCTTGACGTGTCTGCTTTCTGTAATCACGATATTCTCTTGGTGAATCGACAAAGGAGGGGGAGGGGAATGCAAGCGATCATTTTCAGCGACGGCTCTCGACGATGCAAACGGCACAATAGCATTAGCATTAAATCATCGGTAACTTCCGCTTTTACACAGCCTAATCTGCTCTCGCCATATATTTCACTACGAGCAGGCCTTACCTGGTTTGAGATCAAAGTACCCAAGACCAATCTCATGGATGCTGGCCAGGGCCGAGGTGACCTCGCCTATTACAAATCTAGTCGACTCGTGATCCAATGATCCGTTCGTTTTCAGCAATGTATGCAGATCGCCGCCACTGGCATATTCCAAGACAAAGTACACACCTTCGCGAAATCGAAACGATGAAATCATTCGGGCAATGCATGGATGGGAGAGCACCCTGAGAACGGCCAATTCCCTCTGAAGTGGTGCCTCGTACCCGATTTCCTTTATTTTTTCCGTCGAAACCACCTTCACGGCGTACTCCGACCAATGAGAACGTGTCGTAGTACGATCGATCCTCCGTGCGTATCGCACGCAACCAAAGGAACCCTCCCCGAGAGTATGCCCAAACACTAGATCGTAAAACCTCAGAGTAGGCAACAGAGTCGGGCTTTCCTCCATTTGGGTTTTGGACCAGGAGGAAATGCCTTGCTCCTCCTCCGGAGGCTTGATCATATCCATGTACGCTTTCACACGGCAGGGTGCCGGCTCGGTGTTGGCACCATCTCCCTTCGGCAATGATCCGTTCCCGAAAGCGTCATTATTCGAAGCAGCAGTCTTGCCTGTTGTTTCGCTGCGCAAAGCCCGGGGAACCATGGGGAGCTTGTTCTTTTTTGCTGCCCAAGGCGCGACGGACTTTCCCATCGGAGGATGTTTTCTTCCGGACATCGTCGTCGTTTTCGCAGCATCTTCTCGCGGTCCTTTCATGGCCCAGGGGGCGACACCGGTGATTCCCAACGGGGGATTGCTGCTTGTTCCGCTTGGTCCTTTCATAGCCCAGGGTGCGACACCTGTAACGGATACTGGTGGATTACTATTTGAGCCCGAAATACCACGACGGCGATTTCGTGGAAACGTTGCCATCACCATGTCGTTCGTGCCAATTGCATTCCCACTACGAGCAGGAGGAGTCCAACCAGCCATAGCCGACCTGATCGTATAATCAGCCGGTAAAAGCGACGATTCAACATCCCTTGGTGCACTTCTGACAGCGTGATTGTTATTTGCCTTTGGTCCAGAAGAACTATCGGCGGGAGGACCCGGAAGTGGTCGTTTCTGCTCCCGGTGCTCGTCGTTTTTGGCAAAGAAACGATTTCCAATGCTCACAAATAGCTCGGGGTCGAGTTCCTGGAGGGTTGTTAGAACAGTATACGTCATTTTTCGCACCGTTGGATTCCACGATGGTTCCTTCCGGAACAGAAAGGGCAAGAGAATTTCCAGCGTCAATTTCATGTTTTTTTCGATCAAGCGAACAAAGGTTTTATTCTTGACAAAGGGCAAAGCCCGTTGTGCCAATCGAGAGTTTTCAGACGCCATCGAGGAACCAAGGGTGCGCAACAGTGCCGGGAGGCTGTCGCCTAGCTCCGATCCGGTAACACCATCGTGAGTTTTTGTCCCTGGCAGGCATCCAATGTAGGTATCAATTTCGTGTAGAAGTAGCACGAGTTTGGGTGTATTCCCAGCGCCCTTGTTCCAAATGTCGGGCGCCAGCAATCCCTCGATGACTTTCCCAGTCAGCTCTGGTTTTTTTCTAAGCAGTATCGCTATGCACTTTACCAAGGGCTCGTGATACAACTCCAACAGGCATGTTTGGTCTCGCCACAAAACCATCGAGTTTGGCCGATGCAATGGAATCAAGTGCTGAAAGAGCAGGTGCTCATAGGACTTGCGAAGCTGTTTTTCTTCTTGTTGCTGGCCCGTTTTCTTCGTCACCGCCGTTCCTAGAAGGATTCGATGCAAGACTCGCAGGGTCATAGCAACCCCACTGCTACTGGTATTTTCCGATCGCATACCGGATCCACTTAAGCTGCTGCTACCACCACCTGAGGTAGCACGCAACTCGAATCCGCTCCATACCGATCCCAGCTGGGCTCTGGCTTGACGACGAACATCAACGGATCCGAGGGAATACCATTCTCCTACTATAAACTCTAAATCGAGTACATGGTTTGCAAATTCTTGGTCCAGCCTTTCCTTGACTCGTTGACCTCTCTGTAGTTGTTCAAGTCGTGACTTGGGGTCTGCAACGCCCACACCAGGACGATTCAAACCATTATTGCCACCCTCGACTCGCGAAAGGGATTGCGAATATGCATAAATCTGTGATTGGAGATACGGAAGCTGTTCTATTTGTTGGTAGAGAGCATGTATCAGCGGATAAAACCTGAGCTTCTTGCTGCTATCCAAGGCGCTGGTTGCTTTGATGTCAAAAGAACAATTCTTCATAAGATGAAAAGATAGCGAAGTACTCCTGCGTTCGTAGTCACCGTTCCCCTCTTCGTCTGCATCTACAGCCATAGCTCTCCCTGTACCTCCCCCACCAACATTCAAATCCATCCAGTAACGCAAGAATCGCGTGACTCGAACTGAAAGTATCGAACGATAGAGCGAAGGCGTTGTCTCTGTTCCCCCATCGAGGCCAAAGTCGCCGTCATTACTTCCCAATCCAAAGAACTTGTGTTGTGGTATATCATGTGGCTTCCATACCTCTATCAAGAAGTTTTCGATTGATCGATAGAATTCAGCATCGAATGGCCCTGCATCTTCCATCATTACACAGTCATGTTCTCCATCGTCAAAAAAGCCCTCGTGGCCAACATCAACTTCAGATGCGGAAAATCCCAACCACGATTCCAGGAGCGATAGAAGACTCGATGTCGACAGATTTCTGTTTCGTTCTTTTCCATTGCTGATCTCGTGTAAATCGATGTCGACGCCTCCTTTCACCAGAATTTCACAAACTAATGCTTCCATTGTCTATTTTCTGCATACCGAGAACCACTGTTGTGAAGTAAGTCAGTAGCATTTCGTTTCAGGCCTGTCATTTGTATTCAGTGTACTATCTTTGTGTGAACAAATTCGTCGCATCGATGAAAATTGGGATACGCATCATAACCAGTACAGTACTACGCTCCAGCACATGTGTGAGCCTAAATCACGAGTAGATAGTGAATAAGCTCACTCTTACAAACTCTTTATTGTAAACACGTACTCGTAGATACGACACTAAAGATCATACATACATTTCGCATGATCATACCTTCTTGCATCATGCAGATATTCCTTGATCCTTAAAGCAATATTTATCAACTCCTAGTGGTGCCTTCTAGTCAGCAGCTTCATCTAGGGTGCTTCATCAGAATCCAGAGACATTTGGAGGAACAAGTAGTCCTTGACTGAAATGAGGAGCAAACAGCAATAACTACTAGTACTAGTACTAGTACTACCACTACCACTACCACTACCGCACTACTACTAGTAATACTAGTAGTAGTATTTGTTCCTCCAAATGTCGCTCCCAAAAAGTGAGCATCCAATCTGGAAGATATTCTTTGCTGGTACGTACTGCTTAATGCATTTGGCGGAGAGACGCATCGAAGATGAGCTTCCACTATCAAAAGAAACACGAAGATGCTTTGTACCACAAGAGTACGACTTGGATATTGAACTAGGCAGATGCGCGAGCGATCGTCGCCATAAAAAAACACAGGGTTTCGGTAAACGATTTCCATTTTGTTGGGGCTGCACGACTCAGGGGCCATCGAGCGAAGGAGATTCTGCTGCAGCAGCCCTTTCAAATGTATGCATAGTGTACACTCATTCACTGGTAGAGAGGAGTAGGTTATTGTTCATTTTATTTTTTTATGACTTCGGTAGTAACCGCAACTAGCTGCTGTATTCCTCCTTGTAAAACGTCTGATGTGTTCGAACGCTCTCTCAACGCTTGGGATGTCTTCTGAACGGCTCGCTTGAAGCCTATTTCCGACCATTCCTTGTTGTTTTGACCCATAAATCGACCGCCGTAGTTGATAATTGCTTTGACAATCGATTGACTGACGAGAATCCGGTGTTTCTTGTGAACACTCTGGTAATAGGATTTGTTGTACTCCACGACCTTGCGATAGACAATATTGCCGGGATGCTTGTTGACTTTCCCCCCCCGGCCACACAAGACATCTGCTTCATTTGGTTTGTATTCAGCGTCCCCGTCCTCTTCCTCTCGTTGCTCTTGCTGCTTTAACTTTTCCGTCGTTTCCCTCAAGGATCTTTCGATTTTTTCGCAAACCATCTTTTTCATGGGTTTTGTTTTCGGTTTCGTCTTCGCAATCGGTGTGGCAACACTGGTGGTGTAAGGTGGCGGACTGCAATGCGCCGCAACACTAAGAGCCGATGCTGTAGAACTATTAACCTCGCTCCTCGCTGCCATCAATCCTTCTGCTCTTTCGTCTTGCTCCAACAAAGACGCCGCAAAGAGGAGGCAGTCGGTGGCCTTCATCTTTTTGTTTCGCAATCCCATGGGCAGGCTATCCCGCCGACGACTTAATGGAGTGTTTGTCGTGACGTTGTCCGGAAATGCCCCTTTCCTGGTATCTACCGAAAGGCTGTTCGCCTCCGAAGCTGGCGGTGCAGCTGTCGAAGAAAGCTTGCGCTTGCTTCCGACATTCGTATTGGTAGTATTCGGCCTAAAAGATGAATCAGCAGTAGATGAAAGCAATCGATCGCCGCCAGTGCAATGAATCGTCAGGTTTGTATTATTTGTTACCAAGGCTGCTTGGAATTCCCTTGCAGATGCACCCAAATCCGTTGTTGATGGCATTGATGGCGTTACTATAGCAGCGGGACGATCGTGTGATGCAAGGCACGGTCTTTCAGCCCCTAGCAGACCGTTGTAATTCTTGTTGTCGGTAGAGGTGATTATCGATATTTTCTTCAAGGCCGTAGTACCCACGGTCGGTGAAGACTTCTTCAAAGAATCAAGGATGGTTGTTGGTGGCGGTTGCTGTTCTTCTGGCGATATTGTGGATATGACACCGCTGAGAGATGTGCTGCCAACTACAAACTGGTTGCAAACGTTGGTTTCGTCGTTTTGTGGTCTAGCAGTATGTGGTGGTGTAACGACATCGACAAGCTTTTTTCCACAACTGTTTATAACCGACGAACCTGCGACTGGATTGCGGACTAATGATTCTTCCGATGCAGCAGCAAGAGTTGTTTGCGGTGCTGTTACTATCGTTATTGGTGGTCCTGTGGATGCAGAAACCGAATTGGATTTAACTACCCCCTCGAGATCGTTGGAATCAAAGGGAACCCGCCCTTCTTTTGTACCGTGGGGAGATGATCCGCCAACATCGCTGTGGATATTGGTAAGGCCACAACTTGTTCTGTCTTCAGATAATCGACTCCTTGTGACCGATTCTTGTTGATGCTGAATCGGTTGGCTGTTCATGAGATGGTGGTGGTGGTGATGATGCATGTGAGTGTTACGATTGTCCGTCGATCTTGGAACCGGTGTCATTTTCTTGCTGTTGTGTTTCTCAACGAGGTTCAATCGCGTATGACAATGTATAAACGTATCTAATGGTGTGGATGGTGATGATGACGACGACGACGTCGATGGTGATGATGGTGAATGTTATGGTAGTAGTGCGAGGAATGAGGAGTAGTTTCAAAACTACAAAGCATTATAAAAAAGAAGCCGAATATTTTTCCTTTTTTGTACGCAGCAATTGCGACCGCGACTTCATCAACTCGAGATTCTCTATCAATAGTAAAGCGGAGGCCTAACAGAGTATACTTCACCCCTCAAGAATGAAATCCAAACAGCAAAGGATGGGCGTGCTACCGTGTAAAGGAAAGAAAGACAGTAAACTCGAATGAGGTAATTGCTCTCTTGCGGCTTGTTCTCTTGCAAAAACGAACTCTTAGTTGATTAGTTGATCACCCAATTACCAGCTGTTATAAGGTAGATGAGTTTTCAAGTCGACGCCCTTTTTTCGGAAAGAAAAGAGACGAGCATTCGTGGAATATCGGTATGGTAAGTGAGGATTCTAACGTAAGATGATATCTGACCGTGTTACTGTTATTTTAACGAACGAGGTACAAGGTCTCGTACTCCTACGTACACAGAACTTCCTTTTCGACCGTCGTGAAAACACGATACGGTGCAAAACAAAAAAATCTCGGCTTGCACTTCAGTACAGCATACTACTGCTGAGGTATGTTTCATTCATGTTTAGTAAATTCTCTTAGAAATACCAACGACAACAATCAATCAGTATCCAACTATGAAAATAACGTCAACACTACTTTACTCTTCACCAGGGGGTAGAATTTTAGTACTCGGAAAGGGCGGATACGACTCAATTGGCGCAGTAGCGGCATCTTTCCGCGAACGTAGGGCCACGAATGATTCCAATTGTCGAGACGCGTTTTCCTTGACACATCGGGCGAATCAAACAACTCCAATTTATGGTCGTCATCTATCATCAACAGGTAGGACAGACGCTAAATCACGAGTAGATAGTGAATAACCCCAATCTTTATTCTGAAGTACGTAGCCGGTACGTACTTTGCACATTTACCAGGGTACAGTACTGCTGTGAGGTAGTAGTACACACACCACAATCACGAGTAGCGCGATACGGTACGGTTGCAACCGAAGTTAGCAACGTCAAAAACGAATATTGATTGGGTAGGTGATACAGTAAGTGATACTGTACTAGATACTGTACTTCGTACTTCTACTTCAGTACAATGATAAATGAATTCATCTGAACTACAGGTATGATCCTTAAGCAACGTAGATAAGAAACATACTATTTTACCTGTTGGAAGTTACCGTACGTTGAGAGGTACTTACCGTAGGAACTCATACGTATGTACGAGGTACGAGTATTTAGCTTCTTCTTGGCACGTAATTTCTTCCTAATTTTTAGACTCAGCAAACGAACACATCACACTAGCGTTTCACAAACTTGAAACAGTCAACCAAACTTTGACATCCAATACGGCCTATTCATTCATTCGATTCAAGGTCCTCCATTCCCGAGAAAGACGACGCAGAACAACGTAACTTGGTGAAATCCTGCCTCCCACTCTAAAACGATAATGATACGCTTCACACCCGCCCTTTTGTCGCTAGCGCTGATGATGGCCATGATGGGTCCATTGGTGAAAGCATTCGTCTTGGTCTTGCCAAAGATAGGCAATAGCCACCAGCACTGCTTTCAGGAACTGTCGTTGTCATTGAGTTTGGCTTCAGATGCCGGGAGCGAATTGGAAATGGGCATGACACCGGAACTCAAACGAGTCACCGATGCCTTTGCGTCTATCGAACAAGAACAGGTTCGATACAAACAGCTTTTGTACATGGCCCAAACGACCGAGCAGGTCAACAACATGCCAGAATCTTCCAAGATTCAGGAGAACAAGGTTCCGGGATGCCTTTCTACTGTATTCGTTGACGGTGAAGCGGTATACGATGATGAAATCGGAGACTATGTGATTAACTTTCAGGGAGACTCGGATGGATTGATGACCAAGGGGTTGGTAGCACTGCTGGTCAGGTGAGTTGAGACCAGCTCTTTTGTACAGATTGATTTCGTTTTCGTTTGGTTCCGTCCCGAATGAAATCCTTTTTAGGCATCAAAATGATTTTTGTCGATGTCGTAGTCAATTCTTTTCGGCGGACACAGAATGAATGCGATGGATGTCTGTAAATGCATTCGCTAGTAAACACAATCGCAACAATATCTAACTGACTTCCGCAACCTTACGTCTTTCTTCGCCAGGTGCTTGTCGGGAAATACTGCCGAAGCCATCCAAAAAGTGGACCCGCAATTTATCAAGATTGCCAGGATCGATCAATCGCTGACCCCCGGTCGCAACAATGGATTTCTGAACATGCTTCAAACCATGAAAAACAAGGCGACGTCGCTAGACGAAGCGGTTCGAACGAGCGGAGCTTCGCCGGTGGATGGCGACGACGCCGGAGAAGACGGTGCGGCGGCAGTGGTGGACGGAGACGAAGCGAACGGATCCTCCACCAACCACGCGGCCATTTTGGCGGCGCTTGGGGCACTCAAGCCTTCGTCGCTTACGGTGACGGACAATTCGCCCGACGGCGAAGCGGATACACGGTTTGTTGTGGAAATCGTCGCACCGGCGTTCGAGGGATTGAACGTGATCAAACGACAACAACTCATTTTTATGATTCTGGCAGACGTCATGCCGGAAATCCAGGACCTGCGGATAGCATCAATGTTCACGCCAGAGGAGGCCGAAAATCAATAGCAAGAATTCGGGATGGCATGCTTTCCGGACTGTTTGCTCTGTCGCGCTCTGTCGCACAACGTACGTCTCCTTTGTTATCGTCGTTGCTCTTGCGCAAAGAATCATCTTAATAGTGGAAGAGAAATATTACTTCTATGACTAGCTTGTATTCCACCCTCGAATATTCCTGCAAGGAGGCAGAACAATGAAAATAATGCCGCAAGAACTAGCAACGTGTGTGTATTTTATTGTTTTGTTGCAAATATAGGCACAGCCTGAGGTCACATACATTAATTTACTTTGACAATGGCTCAGCCATAGCCAAATACTGTACTACTAGCACGAGTCAAACTCTCAAGATGGGATTTGAAAAATTGCTTATTCCTTGACTAGAACTGCTTTTCCTGGTTTCTACTAATCTGTTTGCCTTCTTGCTATGAGCCTCTCTCATTGCAGGGCACCAAACCACCAAATTTGCTTCCTTTGATTCCTGCCTGTCATTTGAGGGCAAGGCTTGTCTGAAGTTGGTGGCTATTGTTCCCTTCCAATGGAGTGCATATGTTGATGTTGTTGTTGTACATCTTGCTGCCAATCATTCTAGAGGCAGACAGCTACAGTTACTATTGTAGTATAGGTAGTTCCTTCTACTATGTTTGTCGGACTCCAGACTACCACTGTTCCAGGACAGGGCTACTACTACTAGAAGTTTACTTCCATGTGCAGTACCATTCATACTGTACAAAGGAATGGGATGATGGAAAAGGTGAAATACTAGCCTACCGTATCGGACAGTTCAAAAAGATTGCACCATTTTTGGGCATGTGCGCAACAAACAAAACTCTATGCACTATTTCTCCTCAACAACCACAAGGACCCTGTCAATTCTGAGCAGATGGATACAAAGTTCACAAAAATCTTTGTGTTTCTGTCACAAAGAAAATTCACAGGATATGTCAGATTGTAGAGAAAATGTGCACAATAAAAAAGAGGTGGATCAAAAATGATGCTTTCAAAACTATTCAAACTTTCTCAAGGGGGGAGATGGAGGAGAACTGGGTCAAAAAAAGATGACTTACACGCAGGAGGTACGTGCCAGCAGGATTCAGGAAGAAAAAGGCCAGATGACTGTCATCTGTGATGTATGCACCAGATACATACATGCATACAGTTGGACAGTATTATACATGTACTACTGTATGATACTGTACCATACTACCAGTACAAAACATAGAGCAGTACCATGTTGTACACAAATACCCTCACACCAGTGATTTTGGTTGTTCCTGGACAGATATTAGTAATTTGTTCCAAAATACGATATAGATTTAGTAGCAACAAGACACATTCCTGTCTATTGGTGCCATGGGGGATACTATGTGATGCTAAGCATAGTCCCTAACTCCATCTTTTGATAAAGGTATGGTAGCAAGGAGATACATTCCTGCTGTCTACTATCCCCCCCCCCCAATATCAACCATTAGCAATATCAATATCAATATCATCTGCAATGTCAATAGGTAGTAGAAGCAGTAGTAATATTACAAAGTGAAAAAAGCAGTAGCAGAAAAAGTACTACTGCCAATAGTACTTGTTGTAAATTCAGGACCTAAACTACCACTGCTTCACTGCTACTACTACTAGATGTACTACTTTTCTGAAACAATTTCTATGATTAAAAATGTACTCTAACTCTCCATTTGTTACTGGAAATATTGTCATATTCAGAATCCTCATCGAAAACTGGTGGAGGCAGAACCATCCAAAATTAAAATAGTAGTATTTTTGATAATGTTGTAACTGCTCAAAGGTTGGATAGTTTTACTAGCATTATGCAGTAAAAATGAATTTGAAAAAAATCCCTGGGGCAAAATTTTCCTCATTGGTGCCTGACATGAAATATGAGTTTTTCAAAAACTGCTCAAAAACACTGTGTCTTCACAGGCGTACGGTAGGCGTTGCACACCCCTCTAAATTATGACGCCTGTAGTATGGTACGGTACGAGGCTGGGGTGTGAGATATTGTGTGACAGCCTTTTTCTGGTACTATTTCTTCACAGGCCTAAGTGAAGAACAGTGCAATATATTACACCCTGGAGCTCAAGCTGTCACTTAGTTTCACCTGGAACCAAAAAGGAACTATTTACAAGGCTGCTTAGTATACGGAGGAGCTGCTGATACGGAGGAGGCGCTGATACGAGGCTGCTGATACGGGGGCTGCTGATACGGAGGATGCTGATATGAGGCTGCTGATACATATGAGGATGCTGATAAGGACGAGGATGCTGATACGGACAAGGATGATGATACGAGTATTTTCACGACGATTTTTCTGTGGGAGTGACTGTCCTAAAAGAGATGTAAAGTGTGTGCTAGTAGAAAAGTGAGTCGATGCTCTTATCGAGGATCNTGTAAAGTGTGTGCTAGTAGAAAAGTGAGTCGATGCTCTTATCGAGGATCGACGAACTATGAAATCTAGAATGGATTGCTGTGGGGATCGAGTGAGGTGTGAATCGAATGAGTCGAGTCACTCACGCAAGTGAATGAAATGAGTCATGTCGATCATATGAATCCTAGGGGATCGCGTGAGTCATATATGTATGGTGTGTATGAATCGTAGATACGTATCGTATGTATGTGTCATATGTATGAATCATACCCACGGTCTGATATCCTWCGGACAACACCCTCCCGTGATCTGTGATGTGTAAAGTGAGCAGATCAAAGCAAAAAATGACGAGGAAGGATGATATCATTGTGAATGTGGAATAGTGAAATGGCCGAACAGTCGGCGTACATGTCGATTGTGAAGGACCCATCCAAGAGGCTTTGTGAGTGCGTYGGCGGGATTGATTTTGCCGCTGATGAAYTGCATCTTGATGTATAGGTCTCGCTTCCAATCTTGGATTGCAAAATAGGGAATGTCGATGTGTCGCGATCATTCCGTGGGGACACCGGAATTCACAATTTTGATCGTAGAGTCGTTGTCTTCATACAACGTAGTTGGATTCTTTTGTGGGAATCCGAGGTCAGCAAGAATAGACCTGAGGTATAACATAATTTTAGCAGCGGAGACGGCAGCATAGAATTCTGCCTCTGTGGAGCTTTGCGCAGTTTGCGATTGTGTTTTGGATTTGTAAACAATTGCGGCGTTTGCTAACATTATAGCGAAGCCTGTGGTCGATTTTTGTTTCGGTTTTATGTTGGTGTATGCCGCATCGACGAGACATGTGATGGTTGCGTCTGTAGGTAACGACGGAAAAGTTGGAAGGTTATCTGGTAGGGGAATTGGTGAGTCAGTAAACGTTCCATCGGGGATTTCGTCGTCTGGGAGGATATTTGTCTTGCGGTATCGTAAGCCCCATGTTTTGGTTCGTCGAAGGTATAGAGCAACACCTTTGAGATATTTAAAGTGTAAGTCGGAAGGTGCCAACGAGAATTTGGACATGGTCAAAACAGCGAAACC